TCCAGACCACAACAGGAACACCGAAATCAAGATGCCTTGTGTTTTTACTAACATGCAAGTCGTGATGCCACAGATACGATAACAAATATCCTCTCATTCACCCAGTTGAAGGTATTTACGACGGTAGGCTGGTAACAGGAAAATTCCTGTCTTGCTTGCTATAACCGTAATTCGATTGGTTTATCATATTACATTAGTGCGTAGTAATTGTTGCGACACGACAGAATTATGGCGCATGCAAAGGACCTCAAATTATATGTACATGAACGTAATCCATGACCACACGAAACAATAACTGTTCTTTTCGTCCCTTCGAGCAATTGAGTCACAATCGATTGAGAATAGAGCGGTTCCTACAGCCCCTAAATCCGTTGTTTATCATGTTCAAAAGAATAAATCTGAAAGAGGGGGTACACCCCTTTCAGATTCCATGTCAATCACCAGTTTAAAGTTCAAATGCGTTTAAACGGTTCCGGGAATTGCTCCAATATCGTAACGCCCGCCGATTCGGTGTTCGATAATCATTACTGTCAGACTGACGTAAATGAAAGTGCCAACAAGAATGAAGAGTCCAAACAGTTATCCTAGGATTTGAGATTACGAGACACAAGAGTCCAGCAATCAAAGCATATACAATCGAAATAATGTATAACGACAACGCTCAATTCAAGACGACATCCAACGCATACCAACAAAAGGTCAGGTTGATTTTTTGCCGGTCTGTCACCTATGTTTAGGATAGCATCCTCCTATCCTGGTACACTGCACCCAATGATATGAACAAGCTTTTTATATACTATATTAAACGACAGAGTGGACGAGGTCACCGTTCGCCCCCACTAATTCTTAATTTACTTCTCATTTTCTCTTGTTCCTTCACAAGTCCCGACGTCACGTTCGTTCGCCCTTCACTAACCTCGAACGGTTATGATGCCTCTGCTAAGCCGTGCTACCAGCAATATGCGTGTGCACGACCCTCGGCGACAAGCCTCGGTAAGGGCGTGAAAATCCGAGGAAGTGAGATGCCACACGAGAACAACACACTGGGCATAGATTGCTCGCTGAGATTCGCACCTGCTAATAATTTTGCTCTCTCGACGAGCAAGGGGAGGTAGTCGGCGCAGCTACAACGGTCACTATGAAGAGATAAAATGGCGAAGCGGAAGGGATCCTGCCTCACCGTCCTACAACCGCAGAGGTTCGAAGGGTGCTTGCGAGCACCAGCCTCGAAACGAGTTGAGCGATGCCGCCAAGAGGCGAAGACTAAACCGCTCTAGATACTACTAAAAAAATGCCATGGAAGTGTGTCCCCACGAAGTATACTTGTAGTATGCTGCGCTAATCAGCTCTAATGAGGATGACCAGAATAAGATATGTTATTATATTCTGTTTTCATATTCCGTAATATGCATTGCAGTACATCACCGATCAATAATATGGTACTTAGACCAATTACTGCAATAAATATATTAGCGGGACTGTGGTTAATACTTGTATTATGTATGGTGTAAGGTATTGCGGAAGTATTTTACATATTTTCAAAGTATTGGAAGGAAGATGAAGCAATAATAAGTTATTCTATAAAAACTACGATAATTATTGTATTGATACTATTGGCTTCAGACTAAGGCGCCTGGCGATTATTCGCAAATAGCGGGTATTCATTCTCTAAGGGATTGATTAACGCGCCAGCGTTGTAAGCATTATTGCTCCATGGGATGCGTGCATCCATGCTATTACTTCGTTTGAAATACGTGCATATATGGAACAATAAAGTTTTCAACCCTCAGTTCAAACTTCACATACTCTTTAGGGGCATTTCCAATTGGGGACTTGATTTGAGAAACACTTTCAATCGGGGACTGACTATTTGCCAAATCTAACAGATTCCCTAACAGTAAAATCTGGTAACTTGTGTTAGACGGCCCGAGCCAATACACCAGGCCTCGGACAATACAGTATTATATTATACTGCACGGCCCGGCGCCCCATAATAATAACTGCAATATGACGAAGAACAACAATAATAATTGTACCAATATCCGTATATTGTACCACCTACCTACCTCTACTCCGTGGTGATGAGCGATGCCGCGTTCCACAAGTCACGGTTAACGCGAAGAAACGCCAG